CTTTCTTTCCTTTTTCTTTTTTTTTCTCGCAGCATTTTCAAAACATTTCAAGCAAAAATCTTTATAGTTAGCAAATTTACAGCTGAGGACTCCATTATGGTTCGGGAGGGGTAGAAGGTAGGAGGGAAACAATTATAATTTGGGGATGGAAGAAAAGAAAAGCTGCACAACTGCTGAATGATAATGGCTTGAACCTTGGGAAAAAAAGGTAATGGCAGGAAGGGGAGGAATTACAAGGACAGTGTGACCTCTGCATGCCTTGCAGGTGCACAGGAGCTATTCTGTACATAGAGGTATTAAAGATATAATGTCTTTAAGAGAGAAATGGGGCACATAAGTGATTTTGCCTACATTTTGTCACGTTCAAAATCGGGGTAAAGTTATGTGTGATTCAGAAAATGACCAGCTCCCAAAGCACCTGATCTTTGTAATCTTGGCCCAGTGCACTCAGGAGAATAAATTCCCATCCCAGTAGAAATGGTGCGTGGGAACTGGGCAACACCAGTGATTTCTCATCCCAGAGTATGAAGTAAGGTAAACGACAAGTACTTCAATAAACCAGTTTTCATTAAAGGGCTTCAAGGAACATTACAGCTATTTTTTAACTCCCACAAAAGCCTAGAAGGTAAGAATTAATTATCTAGGTTTATAACTGTGTAAACTGAGATATAAAGAGATCAACGGTAACAGACCTTTAGAAGAAACCTCAGATAACAAGTTTAAAGTGCTTCAGTATTTTGCTGAATCTAGAATCGAATAAGTGGGTCAAAGTCTCACAAGTGAGTCAGACTGTGACTCCCAGCTCCCGTTTTCTTCACTCTCTAAACATTGTGACTATATGTGGAGCCTGAGAAGTAATTTTATATGTGGGATGTTAAATCAGTACTTTTCCTGTCTCATCAATCTCCTGTATTTTGGTACAGTGCGAATCATTTGGTAAGTGGCACAAATTAGAAAACCCAGGAGAGATGTTAAAAGTATTACTTTTTTTTTTTCCTTTGGCACTTAAAATCCTTTATTAGAACTAAACAACAGCAAGAACTACATCATTAGAAAATATTTTAGAGCTTACTTTAAACACAGAGAAAAGTATTAAATTGACTTTCCTGGGAATTTTAGGGGAGTAAAAGCTGTTACATATAGCATATACTTTCTCTTCACTCATAAAGATTTGAGACATTTTCATACTTCAAATTCATAGGAATGAGCTAGAAAGGCATTTGAGGCATAGTAAAATCCTGCTTTTTATAAACACTCAAGTACTTATTTTTACCTATGCAAAATGATCTGTAAATTGTACTAAACATGTTTGGGGAGAGGAAAGGGAGGGGGCAAGGTTACTCTGAATTTTTTAATCAAGAATAACATATTGCATCCCATTTGATAAAAAAAGATTCTCATTTAGGCTTAATACAGCACATCTGCTTGAAAAATACATACAAGGCTCCCATTGACTGCTTTGGGAAGTTTGCCAATAATATTTCATGGAAGTTATCTTGATATCAGCCTCAGAAAATGAAGACATTTTACAGGGAGTGTTAATTCAACAACGTAAAGTTAAAAATAACTTGCTCATGCACAAAGAAATTTGATTGTTTTTACAGTTCTTAGCTTTAATTTTCAATTTTATCAGATGTACAGTCTAGGAAGAAAAACAAGATCTAATTTGCAGTGAAGCTGGGTATCATAGGCCATGGCCATGAAAAGAGAAATGATGTCATGAACAGACAGACTCAACTGCACATCAAAAATACACGTGAATAGTATGAGAATGCAAAAGGTCTTGCACAAAACACAAATCTCTTTTAAAAACACATGTGCAAATGCAGGAATAGCAGTGAAAAGTAAGTAAATGTGTATTTTCAGCATGCCATGATTTCCCCTGTGTGAAAAGTCTTAGAGGCAAACTGGAAAAGGAACAGAAAATACATTTCTGTTCTTTACTGCTCCTTATTTTCCCCTTAGTTTAGATCTCATCCATATGGGGAAATTAAGAAATAAACTATACTGCAGTGCTAGTCATTGCCTGGGTGGACACTCCTGCTCTAGAATAAGAGTGGATTTTCCTGGCTAATTTATTTTATTTTGAAAGCAGGTTAGCTGTACTAGGGAAGGGGGAAATCTACCCTTACTCCCAAATAAGAACATCCATCCTGATAATTCATAGCTCAGCTACCTCCGTATAAGTTCAGATTTTGCTTTTTATCATACAACCTCCCCTACAGATATTCCATTGTGGTGGAAGTGCAGGCCCCAGGAATTAAAGGGTGATTTTACCAAAGGCTTCAGTGGGGACAGAAGCCCACACAGGATCTCTTCTCTCACCTGGGATGTAGGTAGGATGCAATTTAGATCCCAGGGTCCATCATTGCCTCATCCTGCCCTTGGAGCCCTGAAAAAGTCCTTCCGACCCTCTTTGAAAACTGAAACATTGTTACACACAGCAAAAAAAAAAGCCAACAGATTTTTTTCTTGCCCTTTTTAAGAAAAAACGTGGCTACATTTTTTATGTCAGAAGAAAATTCTACTTTCCAACATCATCATGCTGATCAGGAAATACAGGGATATTTTATTCTTATTGGTTCCATGACACTGGAGGATGGAAAAGCTTTTCTGCACCAAATAAAATACACTGAAGCACAGTGAAACACCTGGGGCTATGTATGTATTGTAAGGGATGTTACAGATAGCTGGTGCTGCTGGGAGCTGGAATAAGGCAAAACACAGCCCTTGGAAAATAACAGCTGCTTTGTAAAACACCACAATGGACCCTTAGTGGTATTTAATGGATAGCAACTAATTTTGCTGCTGGTATAAGAGTGCATATCATAAACACAAAATTCATCCTGAAGTGCTTACCCTGAAAGCTGTCAGAAGTGGGAGGACATCAGTGACACCAGTACTGGCCTCCACCACCCCTGCTGCTGCCTGACCTGCCAGGGACATCATGGTGAGAACCTCTTAACCAGCAACCACCAAATATTCCTGTCACAGTCATTAAATAAATGGCCCTTAAAATCCTTAAAGTTTGCCAGAAATAACATAATTCCTTCAAAGGAGCCAAGTTAGTAAGTCAGACCATGGAGACTACTGTCCACTACTATAAATGTACAGTCTTAAATTCCCCCAACCAAGCCACCTCCATGAATATCAAGTGAGCTCTCCTCTAGACAGCGTGGAGGATCGGAGTTTTCATATCTAAGCATATTATTCCTAATATCACAGAGACACTTCCCTGAATTGTCCTTCTCCTGCCCAAATTCCCCATCTGACCAGATGTCTTTCTCTCTCTTGCTTTCACCTGTCAATCATGTTCACAGCTGAAATTTGATTTCTCTCCCAACAGTAACCTTAGATGAAATATTACCATAGGGGTCAGAACTGCCTGAACCTTGCTGTAAAAGTTTGTTAACTCTTCCAAGACCCAAGAGCTATTTGCTTAAAACTAACAGATTTTGCTCCTGGTTGTTTTGTTGGTGTTTTTTTGTCTATAATATGTGACAATATAACCACGAAATACTGAGGGAAGATACGAGGAATTGTCCCAGAGAACAGCAGGCTAAGCAAGTGTTGAGATCACAAGTGTCGATAAGGGAAAAATATTTCCTTTTTTATTATATGGATAAAAAGAATAAATATCACTATTTTATATAAATCTAATAGTCACATACATGAATTACAGGAAGCATGGAAGATTTTTCTGTGAGATTATTGAAATTAGAAAGGTTTCCATAGGAGCAAGTTGATGACACAAGTGCTGCACCTTTGCAATTAAAATACACACTTCATGTTTTTACTTCAGCTGATAGCAAGTTGGCTCTATTCTTGCCAAAAAAAGCATATTGCACTCTAAGTTTTCACAAAAAAAAAAAAACCCAAGTGGTCTTGCTTCCCTCTCGCTTACACTGGTGAAAAACAGAAAAAAAAAATGCACTGCGGGCAAAACCCTATCCAGGGTGCTCCTCAGGGAAGTAAAAGGAGCACCAGGCTTAAAATGAAGGTCCTGGAGTGCTCCTTGAGAAATCTATTCCTACAGCCCATACACCACCAAAAACTCCTCTCAGTTCCATTTAATGTATAGGCTACAGCACCAATTACATCCTCACCATCCTCACTTAAATTTTAAATAATAAATCTGTTACTTAAATTTATTTTCAAAATTAACAAATCTATAATTTTAATTTATTATTTACATTTCTTTTAAAAGATAAAAAATAAATCTATTCTTTAAAAAAGCTTAATTCCATGAGCTAATAAAATTCAGCTGTTTCTAACAGCACTTAACCATTGATCAAAGCGTGGCAGGCTGTATGGCAGGCTGTGTTCTTAACTAAAATAGGAGGTTTCATAAAAAAATTCACACAGGAATCTGTCATTGCAACCTTGGTGCTCATTTAACCCACTTAGTATTTTTATAGTCAAGGTCAATAAAAGTCAGATTCCACAGAAAAAAAAAAATAAAGTGCCTGTTTGAGTCTAGCAGGGGAAGGGATTGAAAGTTTTAATTCCCACATTTTCATTAACAGCATATTTTTTAGTCAATGTTGACAGATTGAATGAACACGAATTTCCAGAGGAAAGCAGTGCTGTGAATTAAACTCTATTGTAATTTGTAAGTACTGAAGTCATCTAACACAGACTCATGATTTTCATCAAGATCTGAGGGAGATCTTCAGAAGACCCATCCTTAATCCCCATAGCTGATGTCTGAACGCTAGCATTTGAAGAAAAAGAAACAAAACATTTGCAAAGGATTATATATGAGGTGTGGGACACGAGAGAGCTGCCTGGCTGACAAAAGTACAAAGCCCCATCATCGCAAGTGGTTCTTGTAGGCACCTGAAATCAGCCTCACCCAAAAGCCCAGGAAACTGCACCACAGACTGTCACCGGCTCCCCAGGGCTGAGCAAAAAGCACCATCTTAGCAGCAGAAAACAAAGCAGTGAAATTACCACCCCTGCTGAAATATGGCAAATTGCTAATGAAAAGGAAAACATACCTTTTATTTTTGACCTCAGGTAACAGGGATTTTCACATCACCGTTGTAGATGATTCTCTCGGGTACCTAATTTAGTAAATATATTAAAATAAACTATTATTAAAAGGAATATTTAACATCATAAAGCCTGTCTGCTGTGCCACTATGGTACAGAATAGGACCTTTTATATGCAAATCCTAAATTAAATTTAGAAAGCCTCTTGTACTGTTTATTAACTCTGGCTGAGTGAAGAAGAAATGAACACAGTTTGAAGTGAAACATTTCTAGCTCACATATCTAGTATTTACTTCACATTAATAACAGGAGATTCTTACTGACAAATTACCTTAACAACACGTATTTTTTGCCTCACCAGTGAATATCAATTTCTAATATCTGAAAGAGTGTAGCTTTCTGTATTTCTTTCTTAATGATTGTTATTAGCTGCACTAATGTAATTGGCAAAATAATAATCAATTTTTGTACACACTCCATTATTTTCAAGACAGTAGTTTAATAACAAAAGCAGAGCTGTCATTTCCCCCTGCAGTTACTCACACTGTACAAATTCATCCTGTCAACACATATTTAAAACCTAATTTAAAAAAAAAAAATCAACGTTGAGTGAATCTTTGTACAATAAGTGAGATAGGTCAGTGAGTCAATCCACATTTCTTAAATATGGATATTTTGTTGTGTCCCTTACAATCAACTTTCTCTCCCTGAGTGTGCATGCACAGACACACACATATATTTCCTATGAAGCGCCTGCAGGAATGCATGAGCTCCGTGCATTTATTGTAACCGTGCAGCATAATCAGAGCAAGAATAAACCACAAGCCCAATCGACTTGAATTAAAAAAAAAAAAAAAGGCAAGAAAAACTATAGGCACTTTTCCAGCATTTTGATTCCAGATTAGCTCTGCAGCTCTGAAAACAAAAGCGGGCAGCACATTTGGATCCAGCTGAATAATCCCTGTCCCACATCCCACCCATAGCCCCCCACTCAAAAGAACCCACCCCCTCTTTGAAAGGACCCCACATGCCACTGAAAGAGATGCTGCCTTCTTGTTTTGGTTTGATTTTTTCTTTTAGGTTTGGAGTTTGTTGTTTTGGTTTTGGTTTGGTTTTTTTCTTTTGAGAAAGGGGATGGTGCTTAGATAAATGCAATACTTGGCACCTGGCCCAGGATCTCTAAAAACAAATGACTCCTGTGGACCTTTGGTGTCATTTTTCCCAGGACGACCTCTCCTTTCATGCCAATCGGTGAATTCATCCTGTTATTAATGCAGGGGGCTGAGAAGAACAGATACTCAAGCCTCACACCTGAGGAGCATCTAGAAACTGATGTGGTCAGCCTGCTTTCAGTCTTTGCTGTGGCCATCCCTGCCCTAAACCCACAACCATTCCCAGCACAGCACACCTGGAACACTGACCCTCTTCCACCGACAAGGTGCATTGCTTCACTTAGCAGCTTTATTCAACTATCAGTTTATTAACAAGGAAGGAGTCAAAGACAGTAACAGAGCGTGAAGGCAACCAGAGACACTAAGCTGATTTATTAATTTAAGAAGCCTGATCACTTTCCTTCATTTTATCTGACAGAGTTGGTGTAAGACAGTTATACTTCAATAAGTTCTCTACACTATACTGTGCTATTTTAAAAGGATTTCACAATAAAGGAAGCTGAAAGACTGTGCACAGTCTGGAGACCGTATCTGGTGTGACATGAATATAGTATTTTAACCAGATTTAATCTTACAGTATTCCCTCCTCTACAATGACTTTGCAGGAGGAAACCCTACGGAAAGGAAAATCTGTTCATCCCACACCACAGAACACTGAATCGTATTGCAGACTCCGGCAGCTCTTCCTACATATTAAAATGCTTTCATCAGGGAGTTTGGAAGCAGTCGAGTTGAGGGGAAGGGGTAAGAAAGGAAAAAAAAATACTAGATCTTGTTTCATTCAATTTTGGGATCATTTTTATTGTCACGGCTCTCAGTGCTTGAGGGAGCAGGGGCTGTTTGCAGTGGAGACGCCTCAGCTTTGGAAGACAATTCCAACACCCTGATCCCATCCCTTTCAGCAGTGACATCCCACTGCCAAGGCCTTGGCAAGAAGTTTTGTTTCAAAACTGGAGAAGCAAGGCTCAGGCTGCACAAAAGGGAATCTGCCTGCTTTCTTACAGAAGAGGGCTTTAAGCTTAATCATATACACATTCCGAGGCACATCCACACAGACTTGTGAAACTCAGCCTCGGCAAACGCCGTTCCCCGCACTTCAGATTCTTTAAAAGCCATGAAATGTAAATCCTGCCGGCTGCCATTCCTGCTCCCTGCAGAAAACTTGAGGCCTGATCCAAAAATTCATTTTTAAAGGTCCCTTTTGTTGCCTTTGGGTTTAGATTTGTCTCTGTGTGCGCACAGGTATGAAGGAAAATGAAAGGAAGAAAAGGGGGAAAATTCAAAAACTAGGGGGGAAAAAAAGGAAGAAATAGAAAAAGGAAAGGAAAAATAAGAGAGAAAAAGAATGAGAGAGAAAAAGGAAAAGGAAAAAGAGAAAAAGGGAGAGGGAAAAGAGAAAGGGAAATGGAAATGGAAATGGAAAGGGAAAGGGAAAGGAAAGGGAAAGGGAAAGGGAAAGGGAAATGGAAAGGGAAAGGGAAAGGGAAAGGGAAAGGGAAATAAAAAAAAAATGGAAGAGAAGGGAAAAGAAAAAGAAAAGGAATGAGAAAAAGAAAAAGAAAAGGAATGAGAAAAAGAAAAAGAAAAAGAAAAAGAAAAAGAAAAAGAAAAAGAAAAATTGGAAATACTGTGACCAAAGCCGAGGGAAGTGCTCTGTGGACATACCTAGGGCCGGGCGGCCCGCGGGAGCCGCCGGGTGACAACCGGAGCTCCGCTCTGGATGCGCGGCCAGACGGATCCATAGTTCCGCCCTGCCTCCCCTTTTGTTGCAGGGATGGGATTTAGAGAGAAACAAACAAGAAGCAAACAAACAGCGGATGCGGTCTCACCTTCCTGCCCCTCCCGGGCGGCGGGGCCTGTCCCCCGCACCTGGCTGAGGTGGGAGCCGCGGCGGGCGGCCCCTGCAGCCCTCGGGACCGGGGCCGGGGGCTGTGCCCGGAGACAGGGACTGCGCCAGGGCCAGGGACTAGGACTGTAGCGGGGACAGGGGCTGTGCCCGGGGTCAGAGTTGTGCCGGGGGCGAGGGCTGTGCCCGGGAGTTGTGCCGGGGCCGGGGGCTGTGCCCGGCTGTGCCCCTGGACGTGGCGGCCTGGCCGGGCCGGGCTCCGGGCAGCCCCCTCGGGGACCCGGCCGCCCTCCAAGCGACCCCGCCGGCCGCGGCCCCGGTGCCGTGAGGGACGGGAGGGGCTGCATCCGTGCACAGGCAGCCCCGGCCCGGGGCGTTCAGGAGCTGCTGGAAGCAGGGAGGTGAAAATCCGTGCCAGAAGCCTCCCCAGGGCTGCTGCTCCCACGGCCGAGGCAGGTACCGGGCTGGCGGCAGGGAGGTAAAGGCGTGTGGGCTCTGAGCTCTGCCGACACCCCGCTGTCCCCACCCTGCAGCCTTTCGGGGACACCCAGATTTAAGGAAAACCCCAAGGACTGAAGGTCAGGGAGACGCCAGAGCCTTCGCTGGAACAGGGTGTTTGAGGCTCAACGCCTCCGTGCAGAGCCATCGGCATCTCTGCTGTATCAGGACAAGCTGGGGCAGCATTGCTCAGGACTGTGGGTCTTTATGAATTAACAATTGAGAGCAGCACCCAGGGACACTCCAACCTCTACCCCCGCTGGAAACTTGAGGACACTGCTGGATTTGTTATTTACTGGGGATTTTTTTTCTGCATGGGGGAGAAACACCAGTTCTAGCAAACTTCTGCTCTCGCTTTGATTCCTTCCATGTAAGATGTTGTATTGCGATGCATTACAAAACAATGACGTTTATTAATTTAAAAAAAGAGAAAATCGTGTCACAAAGTCCACAGGGCTTCAAAACAAGCAAGGAGAGAGGCAGGGCAACTTCTGCCCTCGTCACTCACTGCACCACGATTACAGGCCTGCACACTTCACTGTGCATCGCAAGTGACACAGTTTTACAAGCCAGAATTTGGAGGGAAAAAAGTGGGTGCAGCAATAGTGAACGAAAATGATCATTTCAGAGAGCGCTGAAATACAGGCAGCGTGCATCGAGGGCACTGAGATGTTGTCACACTCTGCCGGGTCAACCCGATACGGTGATAGATGGCTCGGGATGGAGCTGCCTGTCTGCCAACTACAGCCTCGCAGATCCCTGGCCTCTTGCTTTTCACTTGATAACTTAAGTCACATCCTGGACTATTTTTGCATTGTGTTGGCTTAGAGCTCACAAATCTGAATGCACTCAGCCCTCAGAGTGACAAATGTTATTCTCGGTCCTCCCCCGCAATTTCAGGCAGTCAAGAATTAGATGCAGCAAAGTGTACAGTATTTTAATCTATTGATTTGTACCTACTGTGCCCAAAAAAATTCATTAGAGGAGCCTTAAAATTATGAAGAGGTTCAGTGCTCAGCTCCCTCCCGAAAAGACAAGTTCTTTCTTGGCCGCTCACCTCTGCCACGTTCTGGGGTGTGCTATATCATGTTATTCATACTGAGACCTGCACTTAAAGCAGAGTTCTGAAGCATTTGGTTACAGACTGTGTGTGTGTGTTGTGTGTGTGTTCAAGCGGGATTGGTTTTTGTCGGAGCTGAGCAAACAAAATCTATCCCACTCTCCATAGCTACCCCCAGACTGCCCAGGCCTCACGGCAGCCACACACAACAGCGATTTGAAAAGAGAGAGGGAGAAAAGTGTATTAAAAAAACCTTAATTCCTAACATTGAAGTATGTAGGATTTTTTTTTTTCCTGCATGAAATTTTAAATTCAGCCATCTGAACAGGTGTCAGAAACAGTGGGTCCATTTAGCTCCTCTGATGATCGGAGTAATAAATATAGAGGATTTCCTTTCAACACAGCACATGCTGAAATGACACCAATGTAGTTCTGGCATCTGAGCAGATAATTCTGATATATGCATCATTTCCTCCCTAAATCCAGGAAGCAGCT